TCAGCGATTTTATGTGCTGCCGCCAAGTGGAAGGTTGACCCCCACGCAGTCGCTTCCAGCGAGGTCCTTGACGAGCGAATAAAGCGCGACGCTGTAGACGCTCAGGTGCCATGCCTAGGACGTGACCGAGCCATCTTAACTGGCGCAATAAAACCAGTTTGTTGAAGGAAATACTTGCATTTCCCAAGATGCGACGTCGAACGTCATTACTATCAACTCGATGTTGCCACCAAACACGAGCGATCCTCCTTAAGCAACCGGTATCGAAGGCAGAAAGACGACGCATGTCTTCCACGTGAATCGGCCAAGACTCGCACCCATTCAACAATACTGAGCGAACTGATGCGCTGTGAACGCGGCTCTTTAGTGAGAATGAGACATCGCGACGACGCCACAAGTGCCTCAAATTGACCAATGCTGATCGAGCTTTAGAGATACAAAGCGAAACTTCTTTGTTGATAGTGCCGTCAGCAGAAACACAGCTCCCGAGGTAGACGAAACTATCTACCTGTTCAAGTTGTGCAACTTGGAGAGTGGGCACGGGAGCAGGTGAAAGCCAATCCTTGAGCAGTACTTTACACTTCGATGGGGCGAAGCTCATGCCATACTTAAATGCTTCAACCGCCAAACGATCCAGAATGAGTTGCATACCCTGAGAGGCGGTCAAGGTCACGCTGAAGCAGGTCGCAGTCGGCGGGCAGCTCAATTAGCCTCCATACCTTAGGGTCACCTGCAAACAACGCGCAAGGTGAACTGAGAAGCTGAGGTAAATCGTTAATGTGGATCAGGAACAAAATGGGTCCAAGGACTGTGCACTGCGGGACACCACTGGTCGAGGGATACGACTCGGTGGCATCGTCCGTTTTCAATTGTTGATCCACTTTTTTGAATTTCATTTACATCATCCTATTTCGCTGAAGGCGTGTGTTACGGCTGAATATTCACCCGATCTGGGTGCCTAAGGCCTTTTCTTGACTGACTGACGACCGTCTATATGAGTTTATCATGAAAAACAATATTCGAGTACAGCAACCCACGGAAATGCTGGGACACACCCCTTCTGTGCACGAAAGATGATAATTTTTACTTCCAAGGAAAAGCATATCCATAGATCGGTGGTGTGGCTATGGGTAGCTCATTGGGTTTCTTGATGGCAGACGTATTTCTGAACATGACTGAAGAGAAAGTAGACAGCATCATCAAGTCCGTAAGTTTAGATGAACGCTATGTTAACGATAAACTATTAGGTATGGATTCGGATGAAGATAGTGCACTTGAATCCAAAGCGTTCAATAGTATGCGCTTGAATCTTATTGCAACATGCGACAAAGAGCATCACAATTGTCTCTTATACTTAGACATGTTACGCAAACGACGACCAGATGGTTAAATCCAAAGGTCATTCTCAATTCAGTAGTTTAACAACTACGATCCGAGCACCGCAATGCACTTTGAAGGTGCAAAGCACATGCCCCAAAGCGTACAGCGATAAGCGTTAGTCTATCCAGTAGTGTTTGCATAGCCACCGCGTCAGACCCAAGTAGAGCTGCTGTCCGCATACTCCAGATTTGCCAGTCGGTCGCCTAGCAGAATTTCCACTCCGGTAGTGTCTAAAAAACGGAGTCACTTATGATCATTTCGAGAACAAAGTTTAAGAGGAAAAAAGATATAGGACAACATTAGTGAACCCCACTTGTCATGCGAACTCAGGAGAGAGTCATGCTAAAGGCTTCAGAATGGAAAGGAATTTATCCAGCACCCCCTTCATGGATAGGCAGTGCGACAAGCTGGCGTGATCAACGGGGTCGAAGGCCGCTTTCAAGTCAAGGGAAACCATAGTCGGCTAGTTTACCGGAAAACCACCTGAGCGGCTCAACAAGCGCTCTATAGTTCGGTTTTTGTTCCATCGAGCTCACATGATTTGCGACACAGATACACAGGAAACAGATGTAGAACTGCTGGGTGGTGTGTTACAATCCAACGATTACCCACTGCAATTCATAAAGCGCTCTAGTGACACGATGAAACGAGAGTGAGAGATAACGGTCCATTGAATTGCAGATCAAAGGTGACCACACTATGAAAGTAACCGCAAAACGAATAGGCGCCTCAATGAAAAAAGCATACAATACAACAGAGCTACACTCGTTCGTATCTACAAGACCAATGCTCGAATGTTCAGTAAAGATGCCACTGTCGAAGTGGTGCACATGCTATTGCTTATTCAAGATCACATGTAGCTTTGGAGACAGCTATATTGGTGCACTGACAGAAATCTAGGTGTCCGGATCAATGAACACATTCTACAGTGGCTCCACAGACGGATGGAGCAAGGGACGGTCGCATCAGATGAATTGACTAACAAGGTTTCCTCCTCAATGACAAGGCATTAGAAAAACACAGGTCACAGTCCTCAAACGCAATCAAAAACCTATTCTCAAACTCCTCGAGGCCATCGTTATTGATCGACAGCACCCCCATTGTGTACAAAAACAGCTGACAGTGACAATAAATCTGCCGTGGTATCGTGTAACGCACCAATCGGAAAATAACCTACCACCAATTGATTTCATGTGACCTTGTTTTGGATCTTTTGTTGGTTTAGTCCAAGAGCATGCATAAAGTGACAGCACCATCCCACAACCTTCGTCTTCTGATATTCTTAGTTGAAATAATTTTATTCTTCGCGTCGCTGATGGGAACGCATCGGTAGCTCTAAGTATTTGCAGCGGCAATTCTAGACGGTCGGTGGAACGGATCCCAGTGAACAATGCAACCATTATCCGAGTCCCAAGATATGAAAAACCATCAGAAGACAGGTGTCCTAGAATTATTTCAGTGCACGCACAAACCAACCCGCTCGTAGCTTTAAGGAGCACAACCCTGCCTTGTAATTCAGAAGTCGCGGGTTCGAGCCTGTGTAGGCGATCAGGCGACCCACGCAGTAAATTTTTGGCCGCGCGTAGTTGCGCGGTAACGAAGCGTCGGTGCCGCATACCGGTGTACTGCCGGTGCCCATTTTTACGCCCTAATCGATTGCGAATCAAAAAACGTTGAAGAAGAATTCTATCGGGAACTGTCAACTCTTATTCCCGTTGATAAGAATAGAACATATAGTGGTAATCGATGTCAATACCGGAATACTGAGAATGAACATTGTGTCACCTTTACTGACTTTGGATACAACTGCTCACTGCGTCTATTGGTGCGCACCGAACAAAATAAAGTCCTTGATCCATTAAGCACAAGCTGTATGAGTCAAAAGAAGTTTGCCGGTTGAGATGGGATATGCGCGAAGACTGTGGCCATACTATGGTGCGCGCTCCGTTTCGGCGAGGAGCCTAACATCGTAAAATGCCCGACAGTACGCCGGAACCGGACCGACGCTTCGCTGCTACGGGACCACCAACAGCCGCGCGAGGGCCGGGCATACCAAGAAGCCGCCCGGATCTACGCGGATTCGAATCGGCGACCTCGGGACAACAACATAGGCACGTAATCCTTTTGGTCACCGGCTTAACATCAATGCATCTTATCCACCACTTGAACTCAGTCTACAATACAACAACAAGATGAAATGCTACGTAGGATGACGTAAATGACTGAAGTGCATTAGTTAATCAATAGACAGTTATCTGCCCAAAATGAAGTGTCCAAACCCTGGATAGATTACTGAAATGTCGGTTAGGTCAATTAAGGTTAGTTAGCTCTACGGGGTGTTAGGCTTCAGTGTTCGTAACACTTCGAAGCGGCACCTGACTAGGAGTCTTAGGGTTGACTAAAATCATTGATGGATGTCAAGGGTCCGAGAGATGAAGGGTCAGTGTCAGCAGGACTAGTTGAGTACTATTGTAAGGTATCTAGAGAAAATCGTCAAGATACTATATGTTGGTGAAACAGATAGGAAAGATGGACACTCAGAACTTTCTAAAGTAAGTTTGCTGGACTTAAGTGGAGAATGACAGTTGAGTAGATCAACTGCAACACCAGCATTAGTGGAATCGACAGTACTCCTTCAACTATTCATGAGACTGGGCGCAAACGCGAGCTGTTGAAAGAAAACAAGGCGCATGACCTTCTTCGTCGTCACTGAAGTGCGGAGACTCGTTGGTCTAATCAATTTACTCTACCCTATAAAAAAGACATACGCATCATGACAAATGAAGTTTGTCATTTGCACAGGACTATAGGTGACAATCATCGGGGCACTGGCTTTATCACTGACACCTAAAATTTGTCAATACTGCGAAAGTTTGTGGGTACACAAGTGACTCCGCCAAGTGAGAGCCAGGTTGGCTTACGCCTCGATTGAGAATGAAGCAACATATTCATACTCAGACAAGTGCTAGAACAGCGATATACATAGAAACGACTCAAGAGAGTTGCCTAATTTCAGTGTCCTTATGGTAGACAAAGAAAACAAAAAGACCAAGTGAGGAGAAAAAAGGGTATGGATTAAACTGTTATATAAAAACCATAAAGCACGTGTAAAATTATTAGTGGGCTGATTATTTGTGCTGGACTAGCACAGAAGAGTGAAAAAATACGATCGTATATTCTTAAGCCACGCAAGTATGGGATAGTATGCGGAGAGTTAGACGTAAGCTAACAGGTGAGTTCTGAGTTCGGTGGTATACATGCACCAATCAGAGGATACAAATTGAACAAAAAGGGAGTATGTATCTTGAAGGAGAAAAGAAGCACGGGAAAAGTATGTTGACCATTTTCCGTCGATAGCGCGGAATCCCGTATCACGCTGATAAGTGATGTGTAGGCTTTCGATGCCCCTGTTAGAGAACAATGTTAATGAACATTGTACAATGCATGAAAAAGATGATTAATGCTTTATTCAGAGTCAAGCTTGTATTAAACAGCATTTAGAATACGGAAGGAGGAAACTTCTAATAAGGAACAAAAATGGTGAAGCAGCTAAAGAGAACATATTCAAACGCTAGAGGCAGGAGATCAAAGTGAAACGAAAGAATAAAGAAACGACTAACCGATGAATCCAAGCGACCCCGCTTTTTGGCAGTGGGTATACTTTTCCCAGAGAACTGCTGCGCTTTGTCATTACAAGCAGTAGTTTCGTGAGCGGAAGCCTGTGTGTTGCTGCGCGTGGAAAGTAAATAGTACAGACCTTGCGTCCACTGCCTCCAACGTTTGCCCGGAAAACCATGCGAAAAAGCGCCGATCAAATGTGGCGGTAATTCGATGGGATTAGACTCAGGGACGTCGGCCGAATAAATCCACCAACTAATGCCTTCGTGCAGCAGATACTTCCGCTCATCGACAGTGTGAACGGTCCGGCCGTCATCAGAGACAGAAGATACCAAAGCACTTTTTACGAAGCTGAAAGGTTCACCGGGATGGCGCTTGTAAAACCCAGCTACACAACAGTCTCCATCAGGCTTGATTTCGACGGGACACCAGCCGTAAAGCTTGAACACAGTTGGTAGCGATGTCGCACACTGCCCTCCAGAACTTGAAGTTGGTAAAAGTGAGGTTTCATTAGCCAAACTTTGAGTGTTGCTCATATGAGCTTGATTGGGGGGGATTGGTTGGGTACCGATGGAAGCAACAGGTGCGCAAATCTTGACAGGTTCCGCGGGTAACAATGAGTTATGCGCCGCCTGGAGAGGGGCACCAAAAGTAGTTGCTGGCGCGGCACAATTGGACTGGTAAGTCACGAGCGTTGAATTCTGATGACCGAGACCAGTGCTCATATTTTGAGTGACTTGCATAAGTTCCTCCACCCATCTGCGAAAATTCTCCGACGCTAATGCGTCATGTGCTATGCGCGAAAACAACATACTCTGGAAATAGGACCGGAAAAATGAGGCTATAAAGACAAAGGCAAACTTGATAAGGATCAGAATTCACAATAGTATATATATTTATTCACAAGTCTGTAAACAGACAAATGTGTCATCCGGACCATGGTGATAGGTAAAGGAGAATATTATGTTCAACGAGGAGAGAGAAAGGGAGTAAAACGTTAAAAATGGCTTTTTTGTTTCATACACGCCGTTTTCAGTGTTTTGTTTTCATGTTTTGTTCAACATTAAAAAGAACAGGATGAAGAGATGGTAGAACAGCATTGACGCCACTGACTCCTATTCCGGGCCATATCCTACAAGACTTCCAACCATTGGGAATCCCCTTTAGGTGGTCCCCAGCCTGGGAGACGCACGGATCCAACTGATGCTAGACACGAAGTTAGAATCTTCATATTCATTTTTCAGGTCATCAGTTGTTCGCCGCGGCTCTTTTCCCATTCGCGTCCAGGAAGTGCAAATGATGCATGACGTGGAAAGCGGTGGGCTGGCATGCGCAGTACGTGACCGAGCCAACGCAATTGGTGCTGGATGATTATGCTCTAGAGACCAGGACTGTTCGCTCCCATGATTCTGCACCTAACTTCCGTGTTGCTCACATGGTGCTGCCACCATACGCGAGCAATCGAACGCAAGTAGCGGTTGTCGAAAGTAGACAGTCGTCTCAAATCTTCCGATCGAACAGGCCAGGTCTCGCAGAAGTACAGTAGGACAACACGGACTGTGGCTTTGTACACTCGGCCTGTGAGCTTGAGACTGACATCGCGACGACGCCACAAGTGTCTCAGGTTAGTAAATGCTAGGCGAGCTTGGGCAATTCGTTGTGAAATTTCGTCGCCACAACCAGCGGTAATGTAACTCCCGAGGTAAGTAAAGCAGTTAATGAGCTCCAGGCTGACACCCGAAATGGTGAGCGTACGCACAGCAGCCTGTCAATTCTGGAGCAAACCTTCACTCTTGGATGAAGCAAAATACAGACCGTAGTTAGATGCCACTATCGCTAAGCGGTTCAAAATATTTTGAAGAACCTGCTGGTCATCCCCCAGCAAAGCGATGTCATCAGCATAATCCAGGTCCACGGCTCTGCTCCCGGGTAGAAGCGCAACGCCGAAGCTCTGGGCTCCTTCCAGTGCGCGATGTAGGACATCTTCGATGGCAAGGTTGAACAGGAACGGCGAAATAGGACAACCTTGGCGCACTCCACTAGTAAGGGAAACCAAGGAAGAAAGCCTTCTATAAGCTCTAACTTTGCCAGAGGAGTGACTATACAGCTGTTTCAGGAGTATGATAAACTTGTCGGGAACACCGTTCCGTAGCAGACAGTTCCACACTGGCGACTTATCTACTGAATCAAAAACGGCTAGGATATCCAAAAACACCACCATAGTTGGTCTTCGGTGGACATGATGATGTTCGAGTATTTGACGCAACGTGAAAAGTTGGTCAATGCAACCACAGCCAGAACGAAAGCCAGCATGTTCCTCACGACACAAATGCTGAATGACTCCTGAGATCACCCTACCTCTATACACCGCATGCGTATGTACCATGCTAGAATATGGGCAGCCAGCCATTTTCACCCTCTCTAAGTTTTAGTGCTCTTTGATGGAGAACATGCAGAGGCGTGCCTCGAAAGCTGTCATTGGACTCCGCAACCTTCCTTACTCTCTCCGTGTTCACTAGTTGAACCTGTTCACTATGGAGTTCCGCCGTCGCCGCGGCGATCTCATATACAATAGCAGCATCCTTCTTGGTGAACTCAGAAACGAGCTACTGCAGTTCTTCCACCACAACGTCGACTGCTCTACACGAGGTCACAAATGGAAGCTGTTCAGAATCAGATTCAGATGGGACTGGAACGATCGGGAAATCACTTGAGTGTACTTTTTGAGCGGATCGTTGAGCCAGGAAATGATAAGGTGTTAGGAGATCTTGATGGATCTAAAAACGAAACACCCGAACCACACGCTGGTCAACCAATTACTGCCCACGTTCCCTGCAATAGCAGTCCCCACTGTGTAGGTCATGTGAAGTAAGGAAGACGTAGTAAGAAAATGGAAGATAAAGAGGAAGGAAAATCATTTAAATGAAGGATAACACCAAAGAGTGAGGAGAATGACAGAATATGAACTCAAAGTTGGAAAATGGATATGGTCAGGAGAAGGTTTCGTGTTGCTACCCAAGAGCGTCTAACTGACGCTCGAAACCCTTAACCGTAGATTCACTGACTACACTTTCTGGAAGCGAGTTCCAACGCTCGATAACTCTACGCGATAGCCGAGTTTCCGCCCTGATGCGGTCGGAACGCGGCTTGTGTAGCTTCATGGGATGACCACGAAGATAAGGCAACCTAGCCGGGCCAAATAGCCAGCTCAAGTCCGGTCCAACCTTCCCCGTTAAAATGCGGTAAGGATTAGGTCTCCTCGAAACCGTCGGTAGTGCATTTAATACATACCAAAGATAAGTAGACGCTCGGGGTACGATTGTCCCCATAACCCCTCGACCAATTTGGCATCTACTCTCAAAACCCACTCGAGCTCCATTTCGTCCCGAACAAGGCAGGGCGGGCAAGCCTAGACGCAGTATTCCAGATGGGGCCAAAGGAAAACTGAGAGCAGCTTCACAAATATGTCGGTAGTTAAGACCGCGAAAGAACGGCGTATTAACCAGAACATTCTGAAACCCCTACTTGCGGTCTTCTTCCAGTTGTCACCAGAATGCAAAGACGAGGAATGGACGACGCCTAGGTCTACCCGGTTGAAGACAAAAAGGAGTTCGACCCACCGAGCACGTATCTCGAAGGCGGGAAAGTTGTTCCTATACGAAGGACGGAACACAGGCTGATTAATGGGCAGTAGCCACAAAGTAGACCAGTCCAGGGCATGCTGAATGGTGTCAGAAGCCCCAGGGACATTTACAACATTTCATAGCTTTGTCATCAGCAAACAATAGGGATGGTACCCCAAGCTCTCCAGGAAGATCGTTTACGTAGATGGAGAACAGCATCGGTCCAAGGACCGAGCCCTGTGGGACAGCGCTAAGGACCACTTGCCTAAAGGATAAGCTGTGACCCACACGTACATACTGCTCTCTTCCCTACAAGAATGCAGATACCCAGTGAAGGGCGCAGCCAGATACGCCGTAGGAGCTCAGCTTTTGTGATAGCCTCCAGTGGGGCACCTTATCAAATACTTTCGAGAAGTCGACGAAAAGCACATCCACTACGAGGCCATTGTGCCCTGCCTCGGCCCAAGCTTCAGTAGCAACCAACAAATTCGTCAAACACGAAAACCCCTTCCGGAATCCGTGTTGTGCACTACTGAGTAGATTAAATCTATTCAGGTAACCTTCCAACGAATCTCTCACCAGCTTTTCAAGCAGTTTGACCACGACGCTAGTCAAACTGACTGGCCTATAATTGGCTGACAGACTCCTGTCGCCATTTTTGAAGATAGGACAGATTACAGCCTCCTTCCATTCAGAAGGTAATGTACAGCTGTCAAGTGACTTCTGAAACATCATCGTCAGCGGTCCACTTAGTTTCACTGCCAACTTATGCAGAAGTTTCGGGTGAATTGGATCACATTCAGCTGCTTCAGAAGGGTTCAGTTCTTGCAGCAGCCCAGGAACTTGCGTTTCCACGACAGGAAATTCAGCTAAATAAGAACCATCAGGTACTTTGGGGACAAGTTTAACGCTAGGTAACGCGGCTTCACGTACAAAAACCCCTGCATACTGCTCACCAAGTACACGAGCCTTGTCCGAGTCCGTAGACGGATAAGTTCCATCGGCTTGCAACAAAGTTGGAATTAGCGAATTTGAACTACAGCGTCTCTTAACATAAGCGAATTTCTTCGGATTTTCCGAAGCTTTATCAGTCAATTCCTTTTCGTACAACAGCCGAGCTTTCCTTGTGTTGTTTACACCTATTTCTAGCCTCGCGGTATCTATCATAGGTGCTAGTTGATGGAGCTACACGGTATGTCATTTAACGCCTAGAACGTTTCTGGAGCAGGTACTTACCAGTGGTAGCTAACCACGGGGGACGTGCTCGTGTCTCCTTTCTCCTCGCAAGCGGGATGTAGGGAGTAGACACTTCCGTGAGATAAGACTTACATTTATCCCAGGCCGCCTGAACCGTATCGGCCACCGAGATTTCGCAACGCAACCCAGAAGCCTTGATACGCATTGCCTGATAGTTAGTACGCCATATTTGGATATGGTTCAGCGAGGTTCCGGTGAAGTCTGGTCAGAGTACACCTGAAGGATAAACATACATGATCACTGGCACCTAAGGAAGAGCTGTAAGTGATGTCACCTATAAAATCTAGTGACTTGGCAAAAAATAGATCCAACATATATATATATATATATATATATATATATATATATATATATATACATCATACACAATCGGTAGTACAGATATTGTGCCATCGGAATCGTGGCTGAATAGGAAAACAATACGAATAATAAGAAAAGAGCAACAAGAACTGCTTTTTTGGCTATTTTACCACTTACAGTTATTGACATTTTTTCAGTTTGTTCTTTTTTAGGGGAATGAAGAAGGGACACCGCAACAAACCGATGCACACGTCCGCCATTGACATCGATCTTGAGCCATGGCTTCGTCATCCTGGACGCCAGTACGCCACTTGGCGCCCCCCATCATCAACCCAGCGCTGGTCACAGATTGACCACATAGCTATAAGTCGCAGGTGGCGCGGCAGTGTACGCGACTGCCGATCAGTTTGGTCAACATGCGTCGATACCGATCATGCACTGGTGTGTGCGACCGTTTGCATGCGTTTTGGTGGTTCGCCTAGGTCAAAACACCCGACTGAACACCTACAAGTTGGAGGACCCAATGGTGAAGAGAGATTATCAACAAAAGCTTCGCGAAAAGCTCCCTCTCTCTCACACTCTGGATGTTGATCAACACTGGTCAAGTTTGCAACAAGCCTTGTTGTCGGCCGGTTT